TCGGAGATTAACAAGGAACAGAACAGAAAGACATTGAATTTTTCAGACACTGATACAAGAAAAGAAAAGAAATTTTTGCCCACAAAAAACGAATTTTTTTTTAGAGACTAAACTTTTAGAGAAAACACAATGATTAGAGAAAGCCCAAGATCGTTGTGTTTTTTTACTCTCTTTTTTTGGTTTGCTTCGAATTTACGGATATCGAAATATTTATTAAGATTATAAAATGCGCCATTGGAATTTAAATGTTTTTCGTTTACAGAATTTTGCAGAGGAGAAAAGCAAAAAAGAGAGCGTAAACCCCGAGACGAACAGGTCAAGCATTTAAAAATGATGTCGTTTTTACTGACATGCACCATGCTTGACCACTATCAGCTTCTTTTTAAATTAAAAAAATATACTCAAATTTTTTTTATTTTTTTTTATAATATAACACGAGTTTTTAATTCGTGTGACAGATGCTATTTTTCTGCGGTTTGACTTGTGCTTTTGTTATCCAATTTATTCGATTATTGGGTTATAGACTTATTAACTTGCTTAATCCATGCGTTTAATTTCCTTATTAATACTTATAAAGTGATAAGTAGTCTTTCCATTTTGAAAACCTTATCATAAGCTAAGTTTAATATAAATTAATTGTTTTCCACAGACTCATCCTTAGTGAGAAACCCAGCATCGAGAATATGTATATATTTTGTTCATATCTCAATGTTTGCATTATTATCAAAGGATTCTTTAATTCTTTGGCAGTTTCAGTAATATCATGGATTTTTGTAGTGTTTTTTTTTGGAGGACCACCAAAGCATCATCGTCATTTTCATCAAATTTGCGTTTTTGTAGGATAAATTTGGGCTGTGAACAATAATTCTTTTTTTTCAACTAAATATTTCATTAAAAATAAAAAAGTTTTAGGTTTATAAAACGAATTATAAACCTATACAAATTTTGCTAATATTGTATCCTTCTTTTTTTTTTTTTTTGATAATCCAGGTGTCCAGCTAATATTGGTTTATTTTGGTTTATTGTATCCTTTCTTGTTGTATCTATCTTTGGTTTATTGTATCCTTTCTTGTTGTATCTATCTCAAAGATACTCTATCAAGTTCATGATCACGTATGCTTCATGTGATTTCTCACTATTCTTTATCTGATCACCTACGTAAGTTTTTTTTTTTGTGATAACTCATAAGTTATATATAAGCTCTTATATACCTATACATAAAACCGATAAACATTTGGCAAATCAAGCATCTCCAAACATAAGACGACACCAATTACATCCTAACATTCCTCGTTCTCAAGCTTGCACCTACCTCATATGGAGAGAAATGAATATGAGATTACACACCTCGGAATCAAGGTCTATGAAGTCATTCATAAGGATATCAATACCACAATCCGCGCTAAACTAGCAACTACTGCTTCATCGTCCTCTCGGCTTCTTCAAGAATCACATCTTCCACTACAAGAAAACAGCCACTTTTCCGACGGCCAAAACCGTCGGAAATCCGTCGGAATAAGCCCTATTCCGACGGCT